ACAGTGAATTGATCACAGCCTGGGTGGCCCCAGCACGTGTGGGACCTTGACGTGTTGACAGTGACAATAATCTGATCTTACACTTTGAGGCAGCCACTGGGTGCCAGGAAGCAGTTTTCCTACATGCAATTGGCTGGATTAGCCCGATTTCCTATGGAATGGGGGGGGTTGCAGCTGGCTTGGCACTGGCAACGCCAAAGAAGCCACCCCAAAGGGAGGCAGACCTTGGGAAATAGGGATGAAGAGCAGGTCAGGCTCCCAAATCCACTGCCCACTTTCGCCCACAAGTTTCCAAAGATTTCAAGGAATTTCCTCTGAGTTTCATAACCGGGAAGAGGCTGCCATGGCAGCGGCACAACCCTTATTTGCCGTCAGTGAATCCCCACCGGCCAGTGCCCTGGCAGAAAGATGGCCTCAGCAGTCCCACTGCTCTGGGAATGACTTCTTTTTTTCTGATTTACCTTTGAAAAAGAGGAGGAAAACCACTTTTTTTTTTATTAAGAAAACAAGAAAAGAGCTGCAGATTTCCATATCTTGGCTGAATTGGTAAAACAAAAGGTTTTGAAAAAAATTCCCCAAAAGTCACTTCCAAAAGAGAAAAAAAGAAAAAGGCAAAGCCGTTCCTTCTGCTCTATCTCTAAAAGCAGCACTGAAAAGGGAATAATATAACCCAAAGGTGCATTTTTCCCCTTTCTTGCTATAACCTCACATTTCCCAGCCCCCAGAGGCACTCCAAGATATATTTTGCCCTCAAAACACCTATATTTATGACTGTTTAGGAAGGCAAAAGAATTGCCATGATTCTTTTTTCCCCCCTGCTGCATTTGGCATGAAAAAGACCAAGACTTCCAGGAAATTCTGCAGTTTTGTCTCAAGAAAAAAAAAAAGAAGAAGAAAATAATAAAATTGGCAAGCAGCATTCCATCATAACGCCTAATTGCTTTGAGTATTTTGCAAATAAAATGATGAAATGTGCATACATGCTGCCACCAAATGGAATGGGGACACCTTTTGGGGCACAATCGGGAAAATTTCTCTGAGCAGGATCCATAATTGCATCTTTTCCGTTGCATCAAGCTCAATGGCGTTTTGGGGCCACAACCATGAATCTGGGCAGGGAGATGCTGCTCAGAAGGGGAATGGGAATCAGAGTGGGAGTGGGAATGGAGCACCCTGGGTGCATCTGCAGCACCCTTGGGCCCCATCCTCTCTCCGTGTCGGAGCTCATCCGTATCCCACTTGTCATTTTCCAGACGTTAAGGAAAAAAGGGTTTAATGGCTGTGACAGTCCCGAACCTGACGGCGAGGACTCTATAGACCAGAGCCCCTTGATGGAGGATAAATTCCGCAAAAGCAATGAGGATTTGGACATCCTGTTCAAGCGCTACGGTGTAAGTACCCCTGCTCCGTCCAGGAAAGTTATTTTATTGGCTTCTGGGAGATTTTAGCCTTTGACCAGCCGTGACACCTGGGTGGCATCAGGACAGGGCAGCAAGAAGAGCAAAGCTAGGGTGGAGCACGTTGCTAATTGGCCATTTAAGTGAGCCAAAGTGAGTGTTGCAAGCTATGCACGAGTGCATGCAAGGTTGCAGTGCTCCCTCCTTACTCTGCCTCTCAGCAAGTTTGTTTTGGAGGAGGAGAAGACGGTTTAAGGAATAAGCCCCCCCGGGCAAGCAAAGCTACGAGCAAATGTGCCCTTCAGCCTGCGCCCTGTGCTCAGTCCTCAGTGCCGGCGCCCAACTTCGCCATGCCCGTGACGGTGCCTGTGAGCAGCCAGAGCTCGCTGCAGTTCAGCAACCCCGGCGGCTCCTTGGTGACACAGACGCTGGTGACATCGTCGCTTACGGACCCCCGGCTCCTCTCGCCGCAGCAGCCCCCGCTGCAGAGGAACACGGTGTCCCCGGGGCTGCCGCAGCGGCCGGCGAGCGCAGGTGAGCTCCAAAAAGGCACCCGTGCACTTGCTTTTTGCGGGGGAGCTTCCCAAGAAAAAGGCTTTTCTGCATGCTGCTGGTCCTGCGTGCCAACACGAGGATGCAGCCGCATCCAGTGACCCCAGTGCTGCTTGGAGGAGGGAGAGGGACCCAAGTCTTCCCAGATGCAGGCACCCTCTGGGACCTCTCAAGCCTGATCCCTCTGCCCACACCAGTCTCTCCAAGATGACCTATTTGCATCCTATTCCCTTGGCCATGGCAGAATTCCTGCTCAGAGGAGCCAAGACCTTTTATGTTGTAGGAGCTATTTATTTATTTTCTGTTTTTTTTTTTTTTTTTTTTATTGGGGAGGAGTGGGATGTGGGAACAGATTTAAAACAATGCATTTCAGGCGGGACTGGAGTGCAAGGTTATAGTTTGCAAAGCAAAAGCAGCATTTTGTGAGCTTGCTGCCATCCCAGCACTGCCAGCTGCTCCAGGCTTGGATTTTCCACAGTTTGGATGGAGATTTAGTTGGGGGTGGGTCTGGGATAGCCTTTTGCTCTCTGAGTTTTTCCCATGCTGATCCTGTGCCTCCGCTTGCTTTTCCAGGGGCGATGCTCGGGGGAGACCTGACCAACACGAACGGAGCCTGTCCCAGCCCTGTGGGTAAGTGAGGGCCGAGGGCTCATTAAGCGTTGCCACTAATGAGTCCCTGACCATTAACAAGCTAATAGCATCTCCTCGGCTCTGGACATGGCACATTCAGGAGCCAGCGGCAAAAGGGCTGCGGAGGAGGGTGAAATTAAGTGGCTGCTCCGATAACCCCGTATCGGATGCTGCATCGTGCTGCCTCCGATGGTGCGGAGGCCTTGGGAATAACTACAGCCTCTTCCGGCACTGGCAAGCAGCTGGTGGCCCCAGGAGGAATTTCCCCCTCCGGGATGAGTTTGCAAGGGCTGGAGCCTCTGCTGGGGGGGTTTTGCGGATGGGGGCTCTGCTGGCTCTGGAGCTGGGAAGGACGGAGCAGGGCTGGGGGCCGGCGGCCCCCGCAGCAGCTGCTGTGAGAGCCGCCACAGTGCTTGGCAGGGCCCCTGAATGTCACCATTGACGTCACCGCGGCATTCCCTGCGTTCCTGCCGCCACGTCGGGAAAGGGCCGGGCCGACCCGAGCCGGCCAGCCCCAGCGCTGGGCTGGGATGCGCCGGCGATGGCAAAACCGGGCTGCCTCCGGCCGGGATGCGGAGGCTACTGGGGGGCTTCCTCCTCCTCCTCCATCCTGGCAATCCGGCCTCTGAGTCATCCCCGCTCCGGGCGCCGCTGGCTCCGCTCCGGCTCCGCTCTGGGCTGGATGCCCCAGATCCTGCAAATGTGCCTCCCTGCTCCCGCCCCATGCCGGGCGCAGGCGCTCAGCCCCTGGGCTCTTCCCGGCGCTCTGGCTGTCCCCAGCTCCGCAAGGGCAGCACCGGGAACGCCGCCAGCCCCGGCCGTGTGTCCTCGCCAAGGCCGCTCATCCGCCTCCTGCCGCCCTCCCTCCTCCTTCCTGGCTTCCCGCTTGCTCCGACTGGCCGGAGCGGCCAGAGGGTCTGGCCTGGAGGAGATTCCTCTGGTGGCAGTGCCTGGAGCAGGGATGCCCCTTTCCAAGGCCGAACTGGGAATGGAGGCAGTGGTTTGGTGGATGGGGGGACATTCTCATTCCCAGTCCAGTATGGGAGGACAACCCATAGCACCCCCACGCTGCTGTTCCCGCTCAGCCAGTACCACATCCATCCTAACATCCTCAGGAGTGGGAATAGCCAAGATTCCACTATTCCCACCATCCGAGTGGGAGTCTTTTAAACCTGGGGGCAGATTTCATGCACCTTCACTCTAAGTAAAGACCGAAGCCAGTGGCTGAGTGAGCAGCATCCCAGGACACAACCCGGATTTAGCCCTTCCGGAGCCGGTCCCAGAGTGTCTCTGCCGCAGCCGCTGCGCAGATGCGGTGCTGGTGGATGTGATTAATAATGCAATCAGCGACCTATTTTTTCCCAGTCTAACGTGCAATGAATCCGAGGGCTGAATCCTGGTGATTGCTAAACGCCTTTCTATCTTTGGGGCCTATTCATAAAAAAAAAAAAAAGGAAAAAAACTCTCATCAGAGCAGTAATCTGATCCAATTTATTCCTTTCCTGATGTTCATCAAATCCTTGCCTTTTGCATTTTTTTTCTGCCTTCCCTTTCTTCTCCTTTTTTTCTTCTTTGCACACAAAATCTAAGTGGGGCAGCAGGAGGAGGGACACTCAGATCTTCAGAGGGGCAGCAGGAACCGGATTCGGCTTCAGTGCCACCAAGTGTCCTTAAAATGGTCCTTAAAAGGCGTGTTAGGAGTAGTTACAGCCCTACCATAGGGTCGCTACCGAAGTGGCACAAAGAGCCTTGCTGCAATATCCGTAGCTCACAAAGAGCACGGGCAGCACGTGAGCTAGCTCTGGAGCTATGCCCCATGGCAATGGCATGTGGAGGGGTTGCCCATATACCACCGCAGGGCGCTTGCACCACGTGTCACCTTCCCACCTTTCGTTTTTCCGCAGGGAACGGCTACGTGAGCGCCCGGGCTTCTCCGGGCCTCCTTCCCGTGGCCAACGGCAACAGCCTGGGCAAGGTGATCCCGGCGAAGTCGCCGCCGCCGCCGCCGGCCCCGCAGCTGGCGCCCGGCGGCCGCAAGCCGGACTTGCGCGTCATCACCTCGCAGAGCGGCAAAGGGCTCCTGCACCACCTGGTGAGTGCCCGGCGCGGCCCTGGCCGCCCCGGCGGCGGCCGCAAGCACCCCCCGTGCCCGGGCTCCCGCCTAACGGACCCTCTCGCTTCTCTCCCCGTTGCTCGCGCGGGCAGGCGGAGGACCCCTTGGCTCTGGTGAGTTGTGCGCCTCGCTGCGGCAAAGGGGCCCTCGGCGAGCGCGCGCGCGGCGCCCACAGCCGCTGCATGCCCCTCCGCGAGCCCACGCTTGCCTGCGCCCGCTCCAAGTTGGCAGCCTGGGGCAACCTGGTGCTGCAGGGCGGAGAGGGAATAAATGAGATGCTTTGCTTATTAAGGCTATCATTTAAAGAATGCTCCTGGTGTGCCCACCGAACCTCCTTGCTGCATGGGGACTGTTTTCCGCATTGTTTTCATGCTTCCCCGTGTTGTTTTTATGCTTTTCTGCACCCTCCATGCCCAGCAGCGAAGTGAGCAGCACCTTGCTGGCGATGGTGGCTCTCCTGGCACAGGGTAGCTGGGTGCCTGTGGCCACCAAGAGTCCAAGGGTGCCGCAGGCACCTGAAGGCCCCATCGCAACAAGGTGCAGAGGGCTTTGCCTCGTGGAGCGCGGGAGGAGCAGCTCGGCAAGCAGCGCGGGGAGCATGCAGCAATCCTCCCCCCGCCAGGATTTGCTCCTTCCACATTGCTCGGCCCACGCAGCCGGGCTCCGCGCATGGCAGCAGCTCCCACCCCGAGCACGTGGGTGGGAGCTGAGTCATTTGCCCCTTGGCCGCCGGGCTCAGCCCCTCGCGGCGTTTTTAAGCCAGTTGCAGTGCAAAGCACCGTTCGCCGAGGCTGCCGTGGCCAGCTCGCCCTGGACCGTGCGCATGCGCTTCTGTCATAGCCCGAGCACGCAGCTTGCATGCTCGCCTGGCCTGCACTAGGTGCAATCAAACCCGCATTTCATACCTGGGCTCAGCGTCCTCGTGTCCACTGCAGGGCCTGGCTCTGCAGCCTGGCGCTTGGTCCCGATGGGGCTCTGCTCAGCCACGCGCTTCGCTTAGTGTGCGGGGCAGCGGTCGCCACCTGGCCCGCATGCCAGCGGGACGCAGGCCAGGAAAAACTGCCACCGACGCCCCGGGGCTTTAGCAATTAGCGTCCCGCTAATCGCCTTGCCTGGGTGGCGGGAAGCTGGGCAGTGCCGGAGCACTGCAAACCCAGTGCACGTTGATGCTTTTGCGCTGCAACGGTGGCAGGGACGGGGTTTTGGGCACCCAGTGCCCACCAAGAACCATCATACGTTGCATCAGCAGCATCAGGAGGCTCCGGGATCTGGTGCCGGGTGGGAGGACGTGGCCTTGGGTGATGCCCCAGGCTCCGCAAGCTGACGTGTGACCGTCGGCAGCTCCGGATTAGAGCCAAGCCTCTGGAGTCCGATTTAAATCGGATCAGCAGAGACAGCCCAGATTATCCGTCTTGTAAACAGGGCTGAAGCCGACCCTCCGATCCACCCACGTAACGGCCTGCAAAGCCGGCGGGGGGGAGACTGGCGCAGAGCCGGCCAAGAGCAGGATTTTTCCAGGCGTGCTTGCTAAGGCATGCAGGCCATCAGAGGGGCCTCATCCTGCAGGGTGCTGAGCCCCACTTGGGAGCTTCAGGACGCCCGGGATGCCCAGAGCATCAATCCTACTCGGGCAGCTGCAAGAAGCTCGCCGTGGGGCTGGTTACAGACCCAACGTTTGCTGGGGGTTGTTGACAACCCACCCAAACGGGGACCAGGTGGTAACGGCGTCTCTTTGCCCCCGCAGCAGAACCCGCCGAGGTTGGGCGCCTCGCAAGCGAGCCACTCGCTCACCACGCCGGTTGTTTCTGTGGCTACTCCCAGCCTGCTGACACAGGGGCTGCCCTTCTCGGCCATGCCCACGGCGTACAACACAGGTAAGAAGAGCGCAGGGAGCGCCCAGTACAACACTGGGAACACCAGCCCTGGCTAGCAGGTGGATCCCCGTGGGTGCCGCTCTGACCAAGGCTGGTGCAACCTCCACGGGGGGACGTTTTTGGCAGCCCTGTGCTCTCTTGGCGAGCTTGGGTCCTGGTGGAATCCTCAAAATAGCCTTAAATTGAGCCTTAAGTTGAGGGTGACAGAGCACTGGAACAGGCTGCCCAGGGAGGTTGTGGAGTCTCCTTCTCTGGAGGTCTTCAAAACCCGCCTGGATGCCACCCTGTGCCACATGCTCTAGGTCTGCCTGCTTGAGTGAGAAGGTTGGACTAGATGATCTCTAGAGGTCCCTTCCAACGTTGAATATTTTGTGATTCTGTGATTCAATTTGGTCCTTGCGTGTTGCCTCTGCTCTGCAGCCTGCCCACTGCCCTGCATCGGTGGGAAGCCACTTGCAGAGAGGCTGGCCCCGCTTGGGTCTCCCAGAGCGAGTGGTGGAGGTGGCTGTTGTCACCCTCGGGGCGTCGCAAGCCCCCGAATGGAAGGGCTGGTGCTGGGTGGAGAGCGATGCAGAACCGAACACTTTCGGCTGCCAACCCCCCGAGTGTGTCGAGTGCCCACGAGCAGCCGGGAGCTGTGGACACGTCTGTCAGATGTAGACGGATGAGGAAAGCAGCAGCACTCAGCTGCATGCATTGCTTCTGGGTTGCAAACTGCTCCAGGTTGCACGTGGCTACGGGATGCAAAAGGCTCCAGGATGCAAACAGCTCTGCATTGCAAATGGTTCCACGTGCCTCTGTGTCACCCTGGGGCCACATCCAGCACAGGCAGCACCACTTGCTGACGTGCAGGCGAGGGATGCGGTTTGCCAAAATGGGCTGAAATCACCCAGAAATGGCTCTGGCACCCACACTGAGCTCGCAGAGGACCGCGAACTCAGGCAATGTCCTTGGCTCTTGCATAAAGAAGTTTAGAGGGTGCTTTGGGGTGAAACCTTGGGATTTGGGGGGCGTGGGAACACTTGGCGACGCGCGTGATACGACTGCCTTTTTGCAGATTACCAGCTGACGAGTGCTGAGCTGTCCTCGCTGCCTGCGTTCAGCTCGCCCAGCAGCCTGTCCCTTGGCAGCATCTCCGCCTGGCAGCAGCAGCAGCAGCAGCAGCAGCAACAGCAGCAACAGCAGCAGCAACAGCAGCAGCAACAGCAGCAGCAGCAGCAGCATCTCGTTCCTGTATCCCTGGGCAACTTAATGTAAGTAAAAGTGAGGGCTGCTCACTTGCTGCTGCAAAATACCCGGAGTGAGGCAGTGGGGAAATGCTCTCACATCCAGTGCGGAACTGGGGGAAAAAGTGGAAAAAAAAAAAACCAAATGTGGGTTTTTTTGTCTTGCTTGCCTGCTTAGCCAAGGGAGCCACCTGTCTCCAGCCACCACGCTGAGTGTCACCACCAACGCCAGCGTGAGCATCAAGTCGGAGCCGGTGTCGCCGGGCCGGGAGCGCGGCGCGGGCACGCCGCTGGCCGCCTTCGCCGCGAGCCGCCACGAGCCGCCGGGCCGCTCGCCTGTCGACAGCCTCAGCAGCACGGCGAGCTCGTACGAGGGCAGCGAGCGGGACGAGGGCACGCGGGGCGACTTCGGTGCCACGCTGGGGCTGCTGCGCCCCGCGAGCGACGCCGACGCCGAGAGCCCCGCGGGGAAGCGGCTGCGGCTTGATGCCTGGGTAACATAACCGGGACTGCCCTCCTCCCGCCCTGCCCTTCTCCGTTGCAGTGGCGGGGAGCCCGGGGATGGAGGCGGGAGGATGAGGATGGGGGCAAGAAAGGGATGGAGGGGGATGAGGGTAAACTGCCTGAGAAATAGCTTTAGGGATGGGGGAGTCGTAGGTTTTGGGGAGGGACCCTTCCCTCCAAAAAGGCAGCCCTAGGGATGCTCATCCCTGCAGGGGCTTTGCAGCGGCTGCTTTTCCCAAGGGACGTTGCCCCCCATCCCATTTCTGCAAAATCCACCCGCCTCTGGCAAGCTGCGTGTCCCCAAGGGGGATGTGCTGGTCCCAGTGGCCCATCCAAGGTGATCCCGCGCTGGGCGCCGGGTCCGCAGAGAGCTGGGAACCTGGGGGAGATCGGCAGCGGGGAGGACAAAATACAGTTATTTGTTCTGGAACAAAATTTATAAAGAAATCCCAAATCTCACCTCAAAATCTCGCAGCTCGTTCCCACTTGCTCTGCACAAGAGAAAGCTTTAAATTAGGGGAAAAAAGGGAAAACGCAGTTGGGTTTCTCGTGCCAGGGCAGACGGGCGCTGGTGGCAGAGCAGGGACAACGTTGTGTCCCCATCGCTTGTCCCCTGAAATCACTGCAGCTCTGTGGAGTGATGGAAGTGGGAAACAGCAGCTCTTCCTGCCCAAGCCTTGGCAGATGCTGGGATTTTGACATCATCTGCAGGAGCGGATGCTGGAAGAGCTACAGATGTGTTTGAGGAGGACAGAGGGGAAGAAAAGGGGGAAAAATGGTGCAATTCCCTAAGGGTTGAGGCTTTTAGTCTCTGACCTCACTCTTTTAAAGGAATGTGAGTTCAGTTGATCCTAACGGAATCCTGAAGGTTTGGATGCGCTTTATGTATGGGGTATATATCCCGGTGTTTCTCCTTGGACTGTCCTCCTTGCCAGCCACTATTTTGGCCACTCTGTCCCACTCTCCAGCCCACTTCTCCATCCCTCCGTCCATCCAGACCGCTGCCAGGAGAGGGGGTTTGCTCAGGAATCTTGGGAAGGGTGGGATGGAGCCGCGGGATGCTCCGTCCCAGCGCCCGCTGCTGCCAAATGACAGGAAACCTGCTCAGATGCTCCCTGGTTTTGTTTCTTTTTCCCCACTTTGGGAAAAACCCAGATGCAGTCCCGCGGTTGTCCACAAAATGCAACCAAATCCGTGGTTTTCTAAGCTCTCTTTAAGCCTTTTTAAAAAAAAAAAAGAAAAGAAAAAAAATGCAAAAATTGCCCTCTCCTCCGTCCCCTTCCCTGGGTTTTACTCAACACCGGGATTGGGTGGCTTCATCCAGCAGTGGAATGCCATCCATCTGGGATGATGGAACACTGGGGAATGGCTCCAGGATGGCTCGCACCAGGAGCCACCAGCATCCCGGCCAGGCTCCGACTTCTTTGCACGGCTTTGGAAATTAGGTGGGATTGATGACATCTTTCATCGGTGTCACTTTGGGGTTGTTTTGGGATTTTTTTTTTTTTTGCATCACCAGCCTGCAACGAGGGGAAAGGAAAAGCATGGAAATCCCTCTGGAATGTTTCCTCTCACGCGAGAAGAGCAGTGCAGAGAAATCGTGGAAAAGGCGAGCGAGATCTAAGGGAAGAGACAAAAAAAAGAGAAGAGAAAGGAAACAAACACACACAAAACCCAACCATTTTCACTCATGAATCCACCCCTGATTCCCACGGGAAGCCAGTGGGATACAGCGCGGGACCCGGCTCCCACCAGCAGCATTAACTTCAGCGGCGTCATGAGTTGGGGCTCAATTTGCAGGGGGAACTTATAATTTTGGGGAGAAATTGGGGGTTATTATTATTTTTTCCGTCTGGGTAATTATCCCTTATTTCCCCATGAACTGTCAAATCCAGTAAAACCCCTCCTAATTTTCAAAAGACAACGAGAAGAATGACAATCTTAAGCAACCAACACCCTCCTTTTGTGCTTCTATAAATATGTTTCCGATCTTATATAATTTTATTTCTTGTGCTCATCTGTACTGTTGACAGTTACAATTGTGTATAATTTTTTTTTAATTTTGGATTTTTTTTTTTTTGCGTTGTATAGGGTTTAGTTTTAAAATATATATATTTTTTCCATTTTTTAAAAAGGGGTGTTGCAAAAACAAAAAAAAAAATTGCACGGTTTAAATGACAATAGTTAAAATGCTGCAGTTTTTAGAGATGTGGAAGCAAAATGGAGCTTATTTATTCTCAAAGGCTATAAAGGTGTAAAATGCATGAAGAAAAAGAAAAAAAATACAAAAAAAAAGACAAAAAAGTGTAACCTGAACAAAGTGTAGCGTTAAAAATTTTTAAACGATGCCAAAAAAAAAAAAAAAAAAGAAAAAAAAAAGAAAAACGGCTAATATATTGTGTTTGGGCTAGTTTGCTTTTGTTTTTAATTGTTCCTTTTTTGGAGAATGAAATACAATTGTGTATATTTTCATATAAGAAGTATGCACTGATATGTTTCAAAAATGATATATTACTTTCTAAAAGTGTGGTTACTTACCAAAGTCTGTTTCTGATCTTTCACCTTCCTGAAGTCTCTGTGGATCCTCGGAGTTGGCGGCCTCCAGGGCTGAATGCAAACCCTGCTGCCGGCGTCAGTAGGTTTTTTGGGGAAATTTTTTGCATTTCTTCTTTTGCAAAATTCTGCAAACATGCGGCTGGTTCAGGCCCTGTCTGTATAATTGTGCTTTTGGGGGGGAATGGGGGTTTTTCCTCATGGGAATTTGCATGGGCTGCTGTGGGAATTGCCTGAGATTTGCAGTGTTGCTGCGGCACAATATTCCCGAGGGATGCAGGGCAAGGATGTAGCAGGCTGGACAAAAAACAAAGCAAATTTCCCCCCGAGCGTCATCAGCATTTGCCATTTTGGGGAGAAAAAGGGCAGAAAGGGTTTCACAGGGGCTCAGTCCTGCCTGCTTGGAGTGATGGGGCTTTGCTTACCCTTGGCATGGGAAAAGGGAGCGGAGATGCACGGGAAGCCTCAAAAAGAGCAAAATGGGGATTTTTGCAAAAGGGTATTTGCAGGACAAGCTCATGTATGACGTTTTGCAGAACGTGATTTTTACGAAAAGCACCGTTTTTTTGCAAAAGCAGACAGCAACAGAGGGGGAAAAAAAAAAGAGAAAAGAAAGAAAGAAATCCGTGTTTTGCTTGAAAATTCCCCCCTGCTTTTTATTATTATTTTCCATTGCTTTGGTGAAAGAATTTCACTTTTCTTCCCTTCACTGCTGCTCCTACTCTTTCTTCTTCCTTTTTTTAATGCAAATTCTCAACACCTAAAATGAGTATTATGTTTTTGCTACCTCCAGTGCCCGCAAGCCATGCCTGGGATGCAAGAGGATCTTTGCCCTTTTTTCCCTGCTCTTTTCTCCAGAAATCCTGTCCCTTTTGCCCTTTTCTCTCTGCTCTGTCACCTATAGTTTTTTCCCTGGCTGCTGTAACTGTAAATAGCAAGTTTCACTATGTTAGCAATGGTAACAGTATGGGGGAAAAAATGGGTTTTTTTTTGTCGTCGTTTTTGTTGTTGTATTGATATGAAATGAGATTATATTTTTGTCAGAGTATGTTGTAATAATACCGATTTGAACACAGCCAGGACTGTATTTCTTGGGTTTTTCCCTCAACTTCTTGTGTCTCCAGCCCCCACTTCCCTCCTGGTTCTTGATGGAGCAGAGAGTTAGGCCTGAGTGAAAGGCTGTTTTTTCACTAGAATCCCCCCAAAATAACCCCTTGGGGTGGCTGCTGGGTTGCAAAAATCACTATTTTTTGCCCCAAGAGTGATGCCTTTTTTAATGTTACTTTCCCTGAGCTGAATTCTTCCCTCTGCCCTTGTAACTCTGATAGAACCAATGTATGTTGAGGCGTAGAATAGACCCTGTAAAGGAAGCACTAAAAAAGAAAAAAAATAGAACATAATAAATAAATAAATATCCCTCCCCAAGCTACCTATATTACAGTTAGTCAAACCCCTTATGTGTCCCAGCCCGTCTGGATGGTCACAGGCAGCCCTTGTCCCTCCCTCTCCCAGGAGAGAAGTGACAAGAAAATAAAATGAAAAATAAAGAAATGTGCACTTCCCCCTCAGTGGTTTTATTTATTGTTTCGAGAAGCAATTCAAAAATAGGCTGTGTATCTATAAATATATATTATATATATATTTGTAGCCTCTTTTTCCCCCCTAATGCTGCTCCATGTGTACGTATGTGGGTGGCTGCGTGAGTCACGGGATGCTGCACTCATGGGTGGTGGCGACGCTGAGCTCTGGCAAACTCACATCAAGAGTTGCCCCTCAGTTCGGGGCCCATCCTGCCCCCATCGACAATCAGCGGCTCCTTCCATTTTTTTTTCTATATTCTTTTTTTTTTTTTTTTTTTGCCTTTCGGGGACACGTTATTGTATAATCCACAATAAGGGAAAAGGGGGGAAAAAGAAAAGATTAAAAAAGAATTACCATTAAAAAAAAAATCTTAAGAGTTTTGTTTGGAAACTCACTTATATTTGTTGTAAAGAGGTTTACTATTAAAAAGGGAAAAAAAAAAAAAAAAAAAGATACCCGTTTCTGATAATTTTCTCTGCCTCCTGCTTTTTCTTGCCCAGCCTTCTCATCCTGCCGTGAGAGTGGGGTGGTTTCGCGGGTGGTTTTGCCCCGGGGCCGAGTCCCCTTGGCTCGCCGGGCTCCGAGGGAGGTGACCCCGCTGTCCCCTCCGCGCGCTGCTCTCGCCTTGGTGGCCCCTAGAGGGCACCCCCCGCTCGCAGTCGAGCCCGGAGCCTTTCGGCAAGGGCAACGGGAGGGAAAAGTGGAAAAATAATTAAAAAAAAAAAAATAATAAAAAATAATAAAAAATGATGGGTGAAAATCAAGCGCACCCCGGGAAGGAGTCGGGTCCCGCACGCACGCGGAGCCCTTTTTTTTTTTTTGCAAATTTTTTTTTTGCATTATTAAAAACAAGCATTGATCAATAATAATCCGACGCGCCCCTCCGCACCTGCATTTTCCTTCTCTTCCTTTTTGCTGCTTTTCTTGGTTTTCCTTCAAATCGCGCTTTTTCGCTCCGCGGTGCTGTTGCCTCCCGGCACGGCCGCGAGGTGGCGGCAGAGCGCGGCACGGCGGCTGATTGACATCTGTCAATCAATGCATCCTAGTGCTGCAGTTTTGCTGGGAGCGAGAGATTGGAGGCGGTTTCATGGCTCCCTTGGGGAATCATCCCGAAGTGCCCATTTTTCCTATTCCAGGTGGCTCCATGCTGCCGGCATGTGTGACCTCCCTGGCGCAGAGCACCGTTTTTGTCACGTTTGCCCCCAGAAAAGGCTCCCCCTACCATGAGCTCCAGTGACTGATTTGAATTCCTTGGGAAGAAACAAAAACACATCAACAGATCTTCATCTGCCATCGCTTGGCTGACCCGCAGTGTGCGAGCATCAATATGGGGAGCCTGCAGGATTTGCACCCATGGAGATGAGAGGAGGACCTGGACCTTGCACGGCTTTCAATCTGTGCAGATCCGGGAAGACAGATTTGGAGTTGTCAGGGGGCGCGCAGAATTTTTTGGCAGTTTTTTTTGGAAAGCACCATCCCCATGCGGCAGGAGCTGATGGGTTCTGCATTGAGCGTTTGCCCTCCCGGAGCTGGGGCAAGCTGAAGATGTAAATAAAAAGAGTTTAGCCAAAGGCATTTTCCAAAATAGTGACAAGGCTATTGGTATCGCAGCTCCCTTTGGTGATGGAAGAGCATCCTGTACAAGCACGCAGGGAGCTGCAACTGGACCCAACCACAAGCTCCCACTGCTCCCTGCCAGTTTGTGTTACAAACCACCCCGCTCAAACTTTGAAGTCGACTTAAACAACAGCAACGGAATTATATGCCTGGTATAAATCTTTAATCAGAACATGTTTTTTCTCCCTCAGAGCCTGCACTGCTGTGTACAATCAGAGCGCAAATCAAAAGAAAGCTGAGTAAATTATTCATTGGGAAGCTATTGCTGCGTTCGCTGCATGTGAGGGCCGGGTGCTGGCCGTGTTGGGGCTGTTAATATTCAACTCGGGGAGTCGCGCGGTGGCCGCGACATCAAAACATAGGCCTAAATGGCCCAACTGCAACCTTGACTTTGCACAACTTTGAGCAATTCCCTCCTGCAAGTTGAGAGCGATTCCAAGGGAAAAAGTCACCAAAAAGACATGGAATGGGGTGAACGGGCTGCAAGCGTTCCACACCGAGCCTTATTTTCTCTTCCTATCAAGCATCCTCCGATAAATTTGCCGATGGGAAAGGCTTTTGGATGGGTAGGGGCACACACCAGGGTTGTGCCTGCTCAAGAAGGGGCTTTGCTCCCTGCATCCCTCTGGGCCACGCACTTCGCCACCTCCGTGGGCTATTTCTAAGCAAGCATCGCCATACAAAGGCAGCCCTGTGGAGAGCCTGGCACGGGCTTTACTGAGAGATCTAAACATTTAGGCAGAGTTGCCAAAGCTGCTCAGAAAATAGCACAGAATATACCGGGGTGGGGGGAAGTATTACTATTATTGCTATTATTATTATTGTTGTTATTAATAATGCTATTATTATTATCGTCTTCATCATCGCTGTCTTTGTCATTGCTATTATTATTTAAGGAAAGCTTGGGTCTGTGTGTTGATAACTTTGGCACAGCTCGTTGCTGGCTGTCTTTAGCACAAACAGAAACCTCTTTCAATTTGGTGTTCTTTTTTTTTTTTTTTTTTTTTTTTTTCGTTTTTCTCTCTTTTTCGAGTCATGCTCCATGGCAAAAACTACAAAAATACATTTTCAATAAATAAATAAATAAATAAATAAATAAATAAATAAATAAATGAGGCAGAGCCAGGTCGAGACCTCTCTGTTAACAACCCGCCGCCTCATCCTCTGAGTCTAAAGGAGCAGGAGGATTTTGCAGGGGTGGGAATGGGGGATGGAAAAAATAATGGATCATTTTCCCATTTACCCGTGATTCAAGGATTAATAACTAATCCCATCAAAGGACATCTGCTTAGATTGTTCCTTGTCAGTGGAGGTAAATAGAGCCTTTTAGTCCTCAGACCTAAACTCCTCAGAGATTATTGTGCCCAGGGAACCTCCTACAAGCACTCGCTTTCTCTCCTGCTCCTGCTGCGATAACCCCGGAGGGAGAAAGCAAACTTTGCAGGGCCCTGCACAGAAAGGTTATTTGCTAGAATTTAGGGGTTTTTCTTTTTTTTTTTTTTTAATGCAAGACCAGCTAAGCCGAGCCTCTTGCCTGCTATTAAGGCTGGGGTATAACAGGGAGCATCGTCCTGCCTCCCAGGACCTTTGCCCCGTGCCAAGAACTTGGCCCCGTCTCTCCTACTGCTGTGGTGGTGCAAGGATTAAAGGAAAGAAATTTGGGGAATAAGAAATGATTCGCATCTGGGATTTGGCCCCAAGCTTTTCAAGTGGTGGGGAAGCTCGTGGTGGGAGATGGGCCTGGATGGGAGCAGGGGGCTGAGCCAAGCGCTGCAGAAGGGACCAGCAGGAATATGGATAAAATACGGAAAAGGAAGGTTTGGGGACAAAGTGGCTTTTTCCTGAGTCCCCTGAACCATGCAGCAGTCTTGCCCACAATAACACCGTAAGCACCAGGGAATTCCCAAGC